TTGCAATCAAACCCGGTGACAGCAACACAGAACATTAAAATCAATCACAGCTCCCTTACCCCTAGGCCACTGACCTAACCGCACGTTTGACATTAAACTTACTTAAACTTGAACAAACATACACACAGGAAGACACGGCTGTTGGTAGGAAGATGCTGGTTTTGTTTGCTAGATAAATTGATAAATTATTTGTTTATTTGTATACTAATAAAAATAATTATAACGAGACTAATATAATAACAATAATATATTAATAATAAGAAGAATTATTATTATTAACAGAATAACCTGATCGATTGTTGTAGAGATTTGTTAACAAAGCGGCTTTCTTTTATAGAGCTCACAACCACCGTTTTTTATGTATTACGTATATATGTTATGTATGTATATATATGTATGTATGTATATATGTATGTATGTATATATGTACTATGTATATATGTATGTATGTATATGCATGTATAAAAAAATGTAAGTGTGTGTAGTGTGTGTGTGTGTGTGTAGTGTGTGTGTGTGTGTTTGTGTGTGTGTGTAAAAATGTGCTTTGTTTTTAACCTTATCAAGGGCATTAACCAGTTGACTGATGATGACAAATTTTTATGTAGAAATTTAAAATTAAAAAAATAATCCACTGAATAAACGCAAGAATGAACAATTGAACGAACGAACGAGCGAACGAATGAATGAACGATTGAACGAACGAACGAGCGAACGAATGAACGATTGAACGAACGAACGAGCGAACGAATGAACGAACGTATAATCAGATGAATAAACGCATTTATGAAACTGCAAACAAATGAACCAATGAACAAACAGAAGAATGAATTAAAATCTTACTCGAAATGGATAGGGAAAAAAGAAATAACCGAATGAGTGAATGAATGAATAAATAAATGGGTGAATGAGTGAGTGAATGAATGGATAAATAAATGGATGAATGAGTGAGTGAATGAATGAAAAAAGAAAATTTGCTAAACTTTTTTTTTTAAAACGCCAAAATTATGACTCATAATCATTTTTAAAATGAAATGAAAATAATTAAATGGTTTTTAACGGCAGCTATTTTTAATTCAACATAATTGAAGTTAAAAATGTCTTTGGAAAACATAATTATTGAAACTATTTTTGAAACTTTTATTATTATTATTATTAGTAGTAGTAGTAGTTGTTGTTGTTGTTGTTTGTTGTTGTTGTTGTATTGAAACACGAAAGCCATTATCACGTATCACGTGGCTAACAGTTTTATTGTAATAACTGGATTTTAAAAGGATTAATTAATTTTAACTTGCAAACCGTCGAACTTGCAAAATGTTCAAACCGTCAAATCAAAAAAAACTTCCTCATCTGCTATTTTGCGAGGTTTTATCACTTCTGAAATTATGTATTTTTTCATGCTTTCACTAATCATTATATGTTTGGCGTTCTATTAATATTTGTTGGATTGTTTTGCTTAATATCCATGAATGAGTTATTTTGGAATGGCCGATTTTAAATCTATTCATCATGTTTAGATTGAGAAACACAAAAACAAATTATTCTCAAGTAATGCCCTAATTAAATAGATCAAAAAATGTCAAAATCAATGAGCTTAGACGATGTGAAAAAATGAAAGAATATGCAAGTGCGAGGAACGCCGAAAAATCAAAGCAGAGTTTCCAAATATGCTATTCAGAGAAGTTGCGAAAGAAATGGGCAGAAGATGGAAATTATACAAAAACAAAAAAAAATTTGATAATGATTCTGCAGCTAAAGGCCTAATAACTTTAAAAAGTCAACGGGAATAAAAGTCAAGCCTCCAGCTAAGTAAAGAAAAATTCTGAATGAACATGATAATTATGGTGAGAACGACAAAGAGGATGAGGAATAAGAGGACAGTGATTAATCCTTTGATTCTTATCCTTAATTTAAAAAGGGCTTGCTTTTGTAGAAGTGGAGCCTGATGTTAACTACGAATGTTTATTAGCACAAAATAGAAAAGTTTTTGTAGTTGTGTCTTATCAAACGTATTTCTTTTTATTTAGGTTTTAATATTATTTATTTATTTATTAAAGAATAAAAAAAACAGGCGATAAAAAAAATCCGAAGTATTTGGTCTCGATTACTTTTTTTTAAATCATCAACAATTAACAAGCGGACTAAATTTCAACAGAATATAAAATGTTTTTTTAATTTTTGTTGGAAACGTTTTACGCAAGTAAACATTATCGGTATCAGGTTTTATTCTGTGTCAACTGATATGCGCTTGTTTTCTTTATATTTCATCTAATACGGTTTCATATTTTACTAAATGGCTGTTGGAAGCGATCTCTGTATCTGATTGATGTTTCAATATGCCAAATCTTTGAGAATTGACATTTTTTTAAAATTTTTCTAACTACCAAGAAAATCCTCAGATATAAATTCCAAGCAGGTCCAGTTTCATCTAGAGAAGTTGACAAATTAGAAGGGAGTGAGTGAATGAATGAAGTGGATGAATTGATGAGTGAATGAATAAAAAAATTATAGAAAAGATTAATTAAGTTAATTAAATCAGATTTATTGATTAGAAGGGTAATCAAACTCAAAAAAGAATGAATGAGAGTGTCACAATAAAATGAATTGTTGATGAACGAGGAAAACATCGATTGATTGATTGTTACATTACGTGACGGATTGACTATTTTGATAACTTTGAACATACTCATTCGCATTTACACACACACACCACACACTCACATTCATACGAACAACATTTACACACAAATAAACACAATAACACGTGTAACTACACAACACCAATGTGCAAAGCCTTATATGATAAAAATAAATGATTGATACTATTAAAATGATCTGATTAGTAACAGCCATAAAAAAACTTTGCTGCCATAACAGTTTAACGTGTTCAGAGCAGGAAATTGTAGGCGTTATGTTATAAAAACACGCAATCATACAGACGAAATACAACCGAATACAACAACATTACGAATATAGAAACAGTTAGCAATACAACTTTTCAGATAAAATAAAGAAACATAATCTTGTTTATTTCTGAATCGTTTGTTTCTGTTCTCAAGTAATTGACTATTAAAAAATTAACTATTGATACATCAACACGATAACTCATAACCCACCATTAACAACTCATCATTATGACATCAATAATCGCACAAGCATCATCACACTACATCACAACCCTTCATCTGCATGTCCCCTTGATGGCTGTGCACGTCCGAATGTTTCATACATCGGAGTAACGACAACATCGCTAACTAGACGACTAACCATGCCCAAAAGGGAAGATTCAATAAAAACACACCTAGAACACACATATAATATTGAAATTACAAGAGAAATCCTGGACAACTTCATCAAAATAAAATACTCTAATTCCAGCCATTCCCAACTGAAATTAGCCAAAGCCATTTTCATCGGCATAAAACAACTCCTGATAAACAAACAACAGATTTTCACATTACTCACTACAAAAAGAGCAATAATAAAATATACTAATAAAACCACAAGGAAGACAATGAAGAAAGTAACATCGATCAAATTTTTATCAAAAAAAAAACAAGCAAATGATACCAATGGAATTAGCGCAAAAAAACAGACCGCCAATGCAATGAAAACATAACACCGAAACAATAAAACTTAACACCAAAGCAATCAGCCCGAACAAATAGACCATATCAATTAGTAAAGAAGACAGAAAAATTAACAAAGGAAAACAATGTTGAAATCTTAGATTACAAAACTAAAATTACTAGGCAGATCTTTGACCACAATGTTGAAATGTTACATTACAGTAACAACTATTATAATTTACAAATAGCCAAATCAATACTCATAGAACAAGACATCTGATAATAGATATTCAACAACCTTAAACTGGAGTCCTTTACACTAATAAATTAAAGACAGAAGAATCATTGATAATGACGTCACGAAAAGTGTCATATTGCACTTGAAGATTGTAATAATTAAGTAACCGTAAAGTATTCGGATAAAGTTATTATCGTAAAGTTTACTAATTAACCGCAATAAAACTTTAAGCAAATACAACCTGAAAACCTACAGAGAATTCAATAACAAATATATAATGTGTATGCATGTGTGTATACCGCTTTTGACAATCCAAATGTTGGCAGGTATGCGTGCAATTGGATGAAATTATAAGGACTTGATTTATTCTGCACAAAGAGTCAAAAACGACATAAAAAAATCCGTTGCTAAAAACTAAAGTGATTATGATATACGTATAAAGTTTCAAAAATAAAACAAAGTCATTTTTGGAAGCAAATTGATTATGCTCTACGTACAAATTTTCCAACTGAAACAAAGCCATTCTTGTTAGCTTTTACGAGGCAAAGTGATTATGCCTGTGTGCAAAGTTTCCACCTTGAATCAAAGTCAATCTTGGTTTGTTAATAGAAATCGTAGCTGACAAAGACTGGTGCTATATATATTGGCGCAGTTTTGCCAGCAAGTGTCACAGTCCGTTAAATTGATCAGCCTAGTTGATGAGTTTCTCACAGTTTCATCAAAACTTTATTTTTCTTGTAAAAGTTTGAATTATTATAAAATTTAATTATTGAACGACAATTTGAGGCCACTATAAGCGTAATTTTTTTAACAGTACTTTTCAATTAAATTACCGTCTATAATTAATTAAATTTGATTATTAGCTAGCAAAGATTATTAGCTAAAAATCTAGAATCTTTAGTTTGGAGTGTATATAAAATTGTTTATAATAACGTAGAGCTCGCTATTTTGAGCACAATTACTCGATCTTAGCAATTACTTTACCGAAAGTTACTAATAAACCATCGGAACCCATAATCATTGTAGCACCAATGGATCAACAGCTTGATGCACCAAACCAACCAACGCAACAACTTCAGGAGCTAGAGAAACCCAGCGACAAAAATGTTCCGGTGGTTTTGTTGAATCTTCCGAAAGATAGTAAAGATGAAAACAGCAAAAGAGAGACGAAAACAAAGAATGAAAAAGGATTTATTCGTACTGATGATTTTTACCGAGAACGTTACAGTGATGAAATACGTGAAGTTCTGGAAAGGGAATTTAGTCAAAAAAAGTATATTGATGTCAGAGATAAGGACCGAATTGCATTCGAAACCGGTCTGAGTAATCGCCAGATTAATTTTTGGTTTCAGAACCAAAGGGCCAAAATCAAGAAATTCAAGCCATTTGACAGAAGCACTGTGATCAATTATGATAATCCGGCTGAAGTTTCTACCCATGATGAGGTCGACGGCCAAACGAAGATTGATGAAAAATTTCAATGTGATGTTTGCAATAAGTTTTTCTCAAGTAAGTGCAACCTGAACACTCATAACAAAATTCATTCTGGAGTGAAACCATACAAATGCGACACATGCTGCAAATCGTTCACTCATTCTCATCATTTAAATGCCCACATTAGGACCCATACTGGAGAAAAACCATATAAATGTAATATCTGCGGTCGATTGTTTGCTCAGTTGAATATTTTAATTGTTCACGAGAGGACGCATTCGGGGGAGAGAACATATAAATGCGATGTCTGTGATAATTCGTTTACAACATCTTCTAGTTTGAATAGACACACGAGGGTACATACCGGTGAAAAGCAGGTGTGATGTGTGTGGTATGTCTTTTAGTAATCTTAGTTCTGTTCATTATCACAAGAAGACTCATAAATAGTTTTTAGAGAATATAATTACATTGGTTGATAAAGTGGATTAAATTTATTTTTTATGTTTTTGCTTTCTAAATGAGTTTTAATAAAAAAAATAATTATAAAACTAACAACAGCACTAACAGCCGTTTCCAATGCAATTTACTTTAGATATGTTTTTTTATTTTAAAAAATTTTTATGTCTTACAGTTTATTGATTTTTAACATTTTAACGAAAAATTTGTATACCTATGACAGCTAAAGGTTTCGAACAACCCGCGCTGTAGTTTGCAGAAGTTTTTATGTTACTTATGCATTTTTAAGGATGGTCTTTCGGTCAACATTAATTTGATCACGATTTGATTTAAGTATACTAAAATAATTTTTAACGTAGTGAATGAATATAATTCAACCTTTTGCCTGAATGTGTTTGCAGAACATTTCTATTCATGCATCCATGAAGATGGAATTGTTTGTACTTAATAATTACAAACAATTTTTTGTACTGTTTTATAATCAATCCTAATGAGAAAATAAAAATTTTTGTATAAAACTTTAAAATTTTAACGGCAACAAGCAGTGTAAGGTCTGCAAATGAAATGATGAAGCGAACTTCGGTTTTGAAGACTGCATTGAATTAAAATCCAATAATGTAGCAATAATTACTTTTCATTATCTAACTGAACATTGAAACTGCATATAGACATGCAGTGACGGGTCCAGGAAATGCGGGAATGAATCCCTCTCAGAACATAGAAGAAGGAAATATTGAAGATACTCGGAAAAATATTAAGCAGAAATTTAGTATTTTTTAATTAAATGGTAAAATCATAATTTAAAATGTCATCAATTTGGAAATTTTTTTACCACTGGCATGTCCTTCCTTTAGTTTCATGCTACTTATTATTTATTTAACATCTAATTATTTTTATATATTTTATTTTTGTTGTTCTACCTGCAGAATATTTCCTACTAATGCGTTGTTTTTGTAAGAAAATACAAAAATAGCTTCCATTACAAACATTCACTTGGAATAATTCAACTTATTAGTGGGTGAATTATTATCGTTCGAGTTTTATAAAACTGATAGTGTTTTCAACAACTGAATTGCATTATAAAAACATTTTACACACACACACACACATCTTTGAGTATTGCCTACCGCACAAAGGGGAGCGGTGGCGAGAGGAGGGAGTTTAAATTTAATTACAGGGATTGGTTGGTTCAGAGATTTGTTCGATAATAAATTTTTTAAGTATAAAATATAAGAAACTAAATGAATGAGCGTTGTAGAAATCACATCTCTTTACAAAATGAATAAAACTATATTCATAAATTCAAATTTGGTTATAACATTGACCTGTTATTAAATCAGTTCATCAATATTTTTGAATGTCAAAAATTTATAAATTGAAAAAACCAAAATCAACGACTATTGATCAAAATAGTTTAGGAAGTTGATTATTCTCAGGACGGCGTGGTGGCCTAGTGGTTACGGTGGCAGGCTGCTGTTTCGCAGTGCGTGCAGTTACCAGGTTCAAATGTGACCAAAAAATTTCGCTCATCACAATTTAAGGGCGCCAACTTTTATGGCTACAGTCAACAACTATTTTGTGGTATTTTTTCAAAATTTAACCAACAAATATTGTTTAATGTTGATTAATTGTTTTTATACATTAAAACATCGCTTTTCACGTACGTAAACCCGTTTCAAATTGGAAGGCTGTGCAATAGACGAAAAAAATTCAGCCAACAAATTTACACTACCGCACAAAATTTCAAATTTTTAGCGCTCATCCTGGATCCATCCATCCATCACGTCATCACTATCACATGCTTCGACCGTCAGCATTGGTTTCAAATATAATTGTTATAAATATTAAATAAATTTAATATATTTACATAACAATATAACATAAATAAAATAAATATAACAAATAAATATAATAATGTAATATAAATAATTAGAAGTTCTTCAGGCTGTTACTCCGCTGAATGAGTCCTAATTAGTATGGCTGCATGATGGCTCAATGGTTAGAGGCTCCTGGTTCTGCAGTTGCAGTGACTGGGTTTGAATGCAGAGAGATGCCCGCCCATCATAGGCAACTGGGTGCTGATTGAATCAAGTACTGAGGAAGAAGATTGGCCATGTGTGACATGCGGGGATCAATTTTCTAGTAGAAAATCCTGTGAACAGTGGGTGCATTGTCAAGAATGTTAAAAGTGGGCTGATGATGCATGCACTGCGGGAACCCCTTGGTTTATTTGTCTAAACTGTGATTGGTTGTTGTTGTTATTCCTGAAACTAGTATCATGTTGATGATGATGATATTGACAATAATGATGATGATGATGATGTTGATTGTGATAAAACTAATTTTATCTCTTAATTTTTTTTTTAATTTTTAAGGACACATTTAAAGTGAGTATTGTGTTTTTCTTTCTGCCAATAAAACTTTAAAATATTCTTGAAGTCATTTGGTATCATTGTTGAACTTTAATATTACATTATTCATTATTAAAGGCGTTTTGCCTCTGTAATCTCCATACTTTAAAAAGCCCATATTAGGAGGTTTGTTGTATTAGTTACTGCAGCTCAGAAATTGATCCTAATTAAGCTGCAGACATTGCATTTTGATAACTGACTGATTAATGTATGTTTAAAGCAAAAATATGTAAAATTGTAATGAATGTTTTATATCTAGGGCCAATTTCTTGAAAACTGGACATGATGCTCCATTTTACTCTAAGGTTGTCTTGAATATAAAAAAAATAGGGATGTTGATAACGTTTAAGTTATTTCCAATTGTTTATTTAATGAGGAGAAATGTTATATGTTGATTTTTAAAATTAATTGATTACAAATTTGTACAGTCCGTACAACGAACTTGATGGTCCCAGGTTTCGATATATAAAACTTCGTAATAAGTACTGTATTTGTGTTTTTCAACAATATTAGATGACTGTACCTCATGTATAAGTGTTAAATGATGCACAAATTATGAGTAAAATGCTCATATTGGTAAAAATTAAAAAAAAGATTTAAGACATAACATTGCAAAATTTGATCCGTAGTTGAATTAGGTAAACATAAAAGCAACATATTGATCCACAGATTTCACTGAACGTGATGTTTTAAGGTGACAAAACTAGGGTAGGAAGGCTGAAGAACTTTGTATAAATACGAGTCGATGATGCAATTATTGTGTTGGTGTATGACGACTGTTATATATCAACTTCTTGAGTGAGATTAAAGAATTGTTTTGATTAATTGATAGAATGCTTTACGGTTACATCGCTCTTGTCATCAGCCTGTTGGGAGTGATTCACTCTTCTGATGTTCAACACCGGCCTGGTCTCATATTAGCTCATCTTGATTTTTTAAATAAAATTGCAACAAAATAAAAAGTTATATCAAAATTTCAACATTTTAGCACTAACAATGTTCTGCATAAATTTTCAAAAACAGCTCAATGTCCGAAGAACTTCAACGAGGAAATCCGCATTGGTTTGGATGGTGGCTATAAGATTGTACAGCTGGACTTCACAAGAGTCAAGTCTTACAAGGTCTAACTTTCACTGTATAACAAGTTTTAAAATTTATTTTCATCGATTATAATTTGAAATATTTTCAGTGCTTCTATGTTTCTTTAACAAAGCCTAACAGAGCATTTTTCAAAACTGATTTAAGTAGAAACGCCGCTGTACGACCGACATGGGTGAGAAAATGTTTGCTGTTGTGATTTTTCAAACATGCTCATAAGATGATATCAACGGTTATTTTAAATAAACCTTTAGAAACTCAACAAAATTCAATTACAGTGAAAAGTATTAATACCAATTTATTTTATATGCGAAATGATAATTTAAATCAAAATAAAAAACCCAAAACATTAGAAAGGGTTCTTTGAAGATAAGGATAAACTTTACGTTGTGCTGCCTGTGATTAACGAAAGCAAGACCTGCCCAGAGGGTTCAACTTTCGTCGACTTCACTCCAATCGACAAAAAAGACTATGCCGTTTGCTCGTTTTTGGAGTTAGTGCTTCTTGCAAACTGTTTCAAGTTTTAACTTAAAAACAATCATCAACATTGCAAGTTATCAAACATTGTTTTTCATAATCTTTCGTAACATTTTATAAACAACCAGTGCCGAAACAGGCGTGATTGTTGATAAAGATGACGTCCAGTTGACTCATCTAGGACGAAGAGTCGCAGAATTTTCTTAAAAGAGGGAACCAATGAAAAATGAAAATCTAAATAAATCTGCTCTCAAACAATTTTTCCTGATGCTCTCGAATATCAAAAAAAAACAATTTGGTTTAATAATAAATTCGTTGAAATTATGCATTTTTAATAGCACTGAATTTCATTTGGTAAATAAAGTTATTTCAAATATGGTGAATGTAATTGATGAAAATAATAAAAATCTTTTTACTCTGATCAAGATAGCAACAAATGGAAATGATAATGTGTAAAATAGACGAGTTCTTCTTCTTTCTCGTGCCTTATCCTTTCAGGACATTGGCGACCATCGACCTCCACAAAACCCGATCTTCAACACTTCGTAGTAGTTGAAATGTGGTGATATTCAACAAGTGGCACAAGGACTTCACGAATGTTGTTCGCTGTTGACCGCGATCTCATCTCCCTGCAATCTTTCCAGTAGTTGTTATATTTTGATGTGATGTGGCCAAAAAACTTTAACTGCCCCCGTCGGATTATCTGAAGTAATTTCCTTCTTTTTAAGTAATTTTCTTCTTTTTTAATTTCTGAAGTAATTTCCTCTTTTCACAACCGGACTGTTTTAATCATCCTCACTCATTTGAAGTATAAAAGGTTCAACTAATTTTTATAATTTTTCTCAAAAACCATATCTCAGCAGCGTTAATCTTTTTTCCCATTTCTTTAGATAGCTAAAATCAAATAAATAATGATTTGAAAAAAAATTATTTTCTCGCACTTTTAAAGGATACAATATCAAACTAAAAAAATGAATAAATGAGGACAAATAATGATTTAAATTTTTTTTTTCTAAATCATACGTAACGTTGCAAGTTTACGGTAAATACGTTTGTTTACTGTAAAATATGTCTCTGAAAACACATTTCCTGTCTGTTTCTCTCAATGTTCATGTTTAACTTTACATTCACGCTTGCATTTGCGGGTTTTTGTTTATAAGTTACCAAGACAACTTTTGTTGATAATTTCGTTTTTAAAATTCCACTGAAGACTTTTATCCGCTTATGGTAACTGTCATAAGCTTCACCTTTTGTTCTGCTCATTAAAATTTCAACACGTATGCATATTGTTAGCCATATTAAAATTTTGCGAAAGTTGAAACACAGCAATGGTTGCAAATTGCATAACAACCAGTAACAAACCTCAGAATGCAACACATCAGGTGCAACAACCAATCAATTTTAATTTTAATGCCACGAACTAATAATGTAGTACTGCAGGGGTGAGTGAACTACGGCCTGCAATGCGTTTTCAGCATTTCTGAAAAAAAGAAATTATAAATGGAATAATGAAATTTCCATAAAAAAGTCATCAGTTATAAATGATCATGATGAACATTGTTAAAATATTCCTCCACCTCTGTTAACCGTCGATATGCGGTCCCTGAAATATTAAATACTTTTCAAGGCGTCCCTCACAGCAACAAGTTTGCCCACACCTGATGTAGTAGATACGTTGTTGTTAGTTATTCGCACATTAAGATTTTTTGAAAGTTTAAAAGTTAAAATTAACTTTAAATTTCACGAAATATATGCCCCATTACAAGTAAAATTTAGCTTTAGAGTTAATTCTAACTCGGTGTAGACATTTTTTAACCGCATCATGCTTCTCACTCGTGAAAAAATTTTACATGTGAGTTAATGCGAAACTAAAAACAATGGCATACATAAACACACACACGCACAGACATACATACGCACACACGCACATACACTCATTCACATAAAGCAAACGCCCTCACACACACATACGCACACGCAGACATACATACACACTCATACACACTCGCACACACACAGGTAGGTAGTTTCTAATGAAGGTGGTGGCATGAGCTTATTTAACGTCGTTTCTTCGGTTTGGAACTAACTCTAATTTAAGAATGAAACATCCTTCCTACAATCATGCATGAAACATGCCAAATAATTAATTTTAATCATGCATCTCTTACAGCTGTGCACTGCTTTCATCTGTCACTATTTTACATTGAACTTGATTTCACATTTATCTCCACCATCGTCATCTTCAGTCTTGGGGTTAACTTCAAACGTTTTCAAAACAACTGCTTGCTACCAGAAATTGCAAATACATTCGACTAATTTTTCATCAACTGCTATCACTGATCTTTCAAATTCTGAATCCAGCTCCAACAATTTAGACAACGTTTGCTCGATACAAACTACAACATATGCCATAAACATCACAAATACAACCTTGGACGGACGATTCTGAAAAAATTTGGTAACAATTTGTACTTTCTTATGTCGTTTCAACATGCCTGGTACAATTCCGTTTCAGGGGTTCAACCTAAGATTTGATTCAGCAACTTGCGAGTTGTTTGAGTATAGGCCAACATGCTTCACTCAGCAGTATGCTTGCATTTACTATGCGATATGTATAATTTTTTCATCATCATTTTTTTAAATATTTTCTTCACCATTGCTACAAATTCTCTCAATTAGATTTGTCTATTAATTTTAAATAATACTAATTTCCTTACTCAGCTAAAGCCTGTGGCAAAAATGGATGTCATTCTTCTGCCAAACTATCCGTACCGACCTCTGCTCATCAATCCAAGTAAGATAACATTTACTTAAAATTACTTTTTGTTTAATTAGGAAGCAATTGTTAAATTGATCAATTATTATTTGTGAATTTATAATTATAAGCATTTAAAATGGGTTATTTTACTTGCATTTTCTTGACGCTAAAAACAAACCAAAATTTAATGTTAGTTGAAGATATGGTTTCGAGTCAGTAAAATAACAAATGTGATGTAAATTAAAAACTCTATTGTTAATTTAAAGCATCAACAACATCAAAAAACGTCTCCTTCTTGGTCCAACTGAAACTAAACCGATCGTCCAGAACCTTCAACAGAAGTTGGTCGGAATTTAAATATGGTTTTTCGATTCGACCATCAGGCAGCAAGTTCTGTGCTGTCAGACCGTGGGGAGCATATTGGTTAGGCAATTAATTGTTACACCAGCTGACATACAACTACACTTGCAACCTGCACTTGCATCTTAACGGTAAGTTTTTATTTATGATCATTGTGTTTGCAATTATTAAAAATTAGCGTCAACTTTTCTAGTTTATGATATTAAAGTTATCTTCTCCATATTTTTTCTTTTTTTTCTATATTATCATTATTGCATTTAATATTTTCAACAAATAAAACATCATTGTCATGCACAAGTCGCAGGACAGGGGAACCTGTACTTGGTTTACAACCAGTTCAAAGTGGCTAACGAGACGATGAACTACAAAATTGACAGCATAACAGGATACGGTGGTGCGAGCAGCAATGGAATGCTAACAAAAAAGGAGTGCCAGTCTCCACGTACGATGACGACAGCTACAACTGCGCATCCAAGCAGGTTGATTGATTTTTGAGTTGTGATTATTTTTAGTCTAAAAAGTAAATGAACACTTGAGAAAGTGCATTAATTAAATTGAACTGAAATCAGCAAAATCAAATAATGCTTTAAAATAGCAATAGCGCGAGCCTAAAAATACACAAAAAATATTTCAAGGCAATGTAAATGACTCTTTGTATATGAACCATCAATAACACATTTTTTACAATGTCTTTGATCTTGCAGAATATTTAGTTTCATTTTACTGTTGTGGAGATAAATTAATTTTTAGTCCAAACTTTTAAGCACCAATATTTTAACATTAACAACCCCGCTACATTTTTTTTTGAGAGCCACGACGAACAGTTTAACCTTATGCAAATGGAGTGCGATTAAGGCATTTCCAAAACCGCTTTGCTACAATGTTGATACTAACATAAAAAAATATATAAAAATTTGTGACAAGACTGGAACTCAAATTAGGGCCCATCCAATTTAATGTTCCTAGCTATTTGTCTTTTTGGTCTATTGGTTGATCCGGCTCTTCCTAGCTATACTTTAAGGGTTAATGTTCTGATGATTGTATCTCCGATATAGTTTTTCAATAAATTTCTGCATTTTGTCATTAACAGACGTGTTAACGCTTATAAACCACGCAAAAAGCATGAATTTATTTTCAACCGACATTTTAAATGAACCATCGTTTGCACGTTTCACAATAGGATGGTGGTATGGTGTTAGTTTCCAGTCCTCGCCAGAATGTGGTATAACAAATGTTAATGCCGATTCATCTGACTTTGTGGTTTATTATAGACAAAAACTTAGTTTGTCCAGTTCACAGATGTGGATGAGTTGCTTAATGTGACTGATCATGTTTTATTTTAATCATACTCCATGTAACAATTTATAGCAGGCGAGTTGTACTAGTTTATATGCTTCAAATTCGTAACATCTGTAACGTTCGAAAAAAACACATTTAGTCCATTAAAATTACACAGCAGTTACACACAAAACAAAAAATGTCATTGAATTAAAAGAAACTGATCTTTCCAAATTTAAATCTTCTGCAAGCAATTTGTTAACATATAGAAATGGTGGGATATTCAACAAGTTGAGAGGGTTAAATTGAAGCGGTTAAACTAGCAGTGTATTTGTTCATATAACATTCATAAGCACCACAGCTCTCCTAAATTTTTAATTTTTTTCTTACCTTTCATTGGGATCTGTTCGTCTGTCTGGCTAACAACATTTTAAACGATGCTGCAAATTTAGAATGTTTCAGTACGAAAATAATTTTTAAGAAAAAATATTTTTTTGCTATTTTGTGAGAGAATATGTGTTTTTTAATATTTTAACATTGTTAATTTTAATATGTCTGGCTTGGTGATTTGTACAAAACAATCGACATTTTATTTTTTAATAATATCGATATTTTATTTTTAATAATTTGATATATTATTCAACATTTTATTTTTTAATAATTTAATATATTATTCAACATTTTATTTTTTAATAATTTAATATATTATTCAACATTTTATTTTTTAATAATTTGATATATTATTCAACATTTTAGCGTAGCTTATTTGTGTTCGTAAACGCATTTATATCTGTGCACGTTAATATTCTTCACATCCCATATAATATTGAAAAACTTTTATTGTTTCAAATATATTTACCGTTAAGAATACCAGACGCCAGTCATAAAAATAAAAAACTATTTTATTTATTATTTTGAGAATTATTAAAACTTTAAAGACTATGAAAAAAAACACTTAATTATTTATTACTGAATTACTCAATTTTTTTTATTGGAGTTCTTCGGTTAGAAATAAAAATCATTTTGCGGTAGATTGAATTTATTTGAAATGAAAATGAAAAACAACGAATTCGATAATGATTTTACATTACATGATTTTGTTTGGAAGAATCGTTTTATTTCAAAGTTTATTTAAAATTTCTTCCACTAGAACGTTTCAAATGGCTTCGTCGAACTCGCACATTATAAACTCATCTTGCATCATTCTATTTTATTTTTTTTTCAGATTTATTGTTTTTAAACGTTTATAAAAATGAATGAATGAATAAATGCATAAAAAAAAGAAAATGAATTTTTCACAATAAAATAAAATTATAAAATTTCATTTTGCAATAAGTTCATTAAATATAAACACCTACACACACATACATATACACACCCACACACACACTTAATTAAACCCTATAAAACTTTTTAAATAGGTTCTGTGTCAAAAATATCAGTTTCATGCTCCACCTTTCGTGCTTTTGTCCTTCGTTTCTTAAACCAGGACTTAATCTGACCAAAATTCAGGCCGGTTTCATTCTCAATTCGTTCTCTATCAACATCATCGACATATTCTTTTCGACAGAATTCGCGCTCCAAAACTTCACGTACTTCATCACTGAAACGTGAGCGGCCAACTTCATCAGTTCGAAACGAATTTTTCTTTTTTTTCTTTCCTTTTCTCTTGTTTTCATCCTCACTATCGAATTTGGCCCTTCGGTACTGAAACCAGAATTTAATCTGGCGAATACTCAGGCCGGTTTCGTATGCAATTCGGTCCTTATCTGTGTCATCAATATTTTGATTTTGACTGAATTCCCTTTCCAAAACATCACCTATTTCACCTTTTCGTGCTTTGGCCCTCTGGTTCCTAAACCAGTCATCAATCTGGTGAATAGTCAGGCCAGTGTCATGCGCAATTCGGTGCTTATCTATGTGATCTACATATTCTTTTTGACTGAACTCGCGTTCCAAAACGTCCCGTATTTCATTACTGTGACGTGAACGGCTAGATAGCTTCACATTTTTAAACTTTAGATCGGAAAGTGGCTTTTCGTTTTCCAAGTTTGATCGGTAGGGTAACGAGTAGTTGTGTTCAACATTAATCTGGTACAGCTTTTCTAATGACATCTTCGTAGAATAAATAGCTGGCTTATCAATTTTAAAATTATATTTATTATCCTACAACCACCTTGAAAACCGTGGGTGTGCAATCAAAACAAGAATCCTTCGAACTAATGATATGAGGCTTCATACACTGTTTTATATACACTCCAAATCAAAGATTCTAGATTAACCTCTTTGTATTAGTTGAAAGCTAATAATCTAGCTTAATTAATTATGCACAGTAAAATATTTGAAAGTTTTTATTTGTAAATTTTTAGTTTATTATGTTGAAAAATTTACGCGTATAATGGCCTCAAATTGTTATACAATAATTAATTTCAATAATAATTTAAACTTTTATTAGATAAATCAATCCATAAAATCATCACTTTGATGTTATACCATCTTTGCTCGTAATATACAGTCTTTGCCAGTTTTAATGTTGTAAAGTAGCATTTAATGAACTATGTGTGAAGCTATAGGATCTTTGCTCATTGTAAATTTTTTCAAAAACATTTTCAAAATTGGATCAATATTTTTTTTTTCACTAAACTTATTACTTACCTTAAACATTATAACTTTTGATAATGGAAGCTTCTGTATTTTTATAATATGGTTAAAATCAAAAATTTTCAAAAGCAAGAAGTTTTTTAAAATGACTAAGACTTGTCACACACACGCTGGTTTCGTCGTAACGATGAAAGTATAAACCATTTTCGGTTTTTTACTTATCTTCTATGAGCAAATGAAGCTTTGTTCAATCGATCATGTAATATTTTCTTCAATCGATCATCTAGAGTTTAGTCAATTTTCCTAATTAAATATTAAATATTTATTTTCGATTCATTCTCGAAGTTTTCGGTAACAACTTAACAGCGCATTAATCCACGCATCGCATCACGTGATCAGTTTGGGACTATTTGCAGTCAAACCGGACGCTACTGTAATTTAGTGTTGTTCATTAGTTCTCAGAAGTATCAAAAACAACAATACGAGCACCACACACGGGAATGCTATTGTTCAAAGCAATTTTGAACGCATACATCGCCCACAATAAGAAAGGATCTCTTCGCGTTCGAACCAAGTGACTGCTACATCTTGCCGCGTACTTTTATTATATAGTAGTTTCGAAAGTATGTCGTTCCAGACCTGGATATATATATATATATATATATATATATATATATAGGATTAAGACTGTCAAAAATGCAATTATTCCTGTTCAACTTTTCGAATTTTCTAACAGTTGATTGTAAATCATTCTCAAGTTTCTTGAGTTCAAAACCAATTTTTTTTGTGTTTTTCATGCATGATAGAACAAAAAGTTTTTTTCGGTGTTCCTATGCCATCTTCGATGTTCGAATTGATACAATGTGTATGTGGCCAGATGCTCATATATGTATATACTAAAATGGATATACTGTGTTTTTACTCTACTTTGTTGATTTCTTGTTTGCACAAAGGAAATACTTAGCGCTCAGTGTATATTAGGTTTTAGCTCTGGTTCTTCTTTAAATAACATTTTTTGATATGTCCAACATAAGGTATTCAAAGAGTACTCCCAATGGAGAGCCCATTGCTACACCGTTTATTTGCTGATACCCGGGCAAACGAAAGGCGCTTTGTCTGTACATATTCTTAGTAGCGCAACTAATTCATCTTTTGGAATTGGTAGTGGTGACTGATTGGAATTGTATATTCTATCTGTTATTATGCTGATTGTGTCCTCAACAAGAACATTTGTGAAGAGTGACTCCACATCCAAAGATGCTTTTATGGTGTTAATGTATGGTTTTGTTGTAGACAATGAATCTTATAAATCTCTACTTGATTTTAGGTTGTAGCTGTTATGGGTGGGGTCTAATTATTTTGTTGAGCATTTTGCAATGGGGTAAGTGATCGCAGGACTTTGGCTGATTAGAGAGTCGTTAGCTTTATGTGTCTTGACCGTAAGCGTATCCTGGTTCATAATCGCCCCTTAAGTATGGGTCTTTTCACTCTGTTTTTTCATTGATTCTTCTTATAATTTCGTTCGACTTTGTCTTAAGCTTAGCAGTTGGATCACTACTAATCTTAATAAATTTGTCAGTGTCACAGACAATGTCATTCAGCTTGTCGTTGTACTCATCTCTATCCATTATGACATACATTGGAGTTTTGTCAGTTTTTTGGATAATAATGTTGTTATTTTTTAAAGATGCTGCAGCATCGATCAATTCTTTCGTGAGAATCTTGCTTTTAAAACTGTTTCTCAACTTTTTGCTTTTAGGTCGTTAACAATGTTTGTGTTGAGTGTTATAAGTTTTGACTTTTTAATTTGATTAAATCGTCCATTAATTTTTCAATTTTAATTTTCAGTCTGTTTAAAATTGAAATTTGTTAATAAAATAAAGTTTCATTTTTATACAGACTCAATTGTTGTTGATAAAAATTTACTAAGACAAATTAAAAAATGCGAATATAAGTTGATGAACCCTAATAAATTGGTGGAATTTATTACACACACACACACACGCACACACGCACACACATTCTAATCCATTTTAATGCTACGAGCATAATTAAAACGAAATACTCTTAGCTTACGTTACTTAAATTAAAAAATTGAATTTTTTAAAAACTTAAATTAATTCCTTCAAACATTTTTGTGAAATGACATTCGATTCAGAAATGTTGCAATTAAAAAAACGCTGAAGAATTTTTTCACTATGTAACAAAATTTAAATCGATCTTCCATCAGGCTGCTCGCTATTAAATAGCTTAAAAATAAATACAAATTTTTACGGCACCTATCTAAAAAAAATTCATTCGTTAATGTTATACTCTGAAAAAAAATTGCAAACGAAAGGTGTTTCAACGTTCATACTTTTTGACACCTCTAGCTATTGAAACAAAACTCTCTATGCATCAAGAACCTTTCGTTTGAATTGAAACAAATTTTAAAAAAGAAGAATAAACTTTTCATTTAAAGTTTTACTCCATTTGTTTTTAATAATTTCAAAATAATATTTTAGTCTGTTGAATCAAAAGTGGTGGATAAAGGATTTTTTTGTGGGAGGGGTTGTTTTTAATTTTTATGGCTTGATGGGGAGATGCCTTTCCGCAACCCCCCTTGATTCCGCAACCATGCACACACATGTATACATACAGACACATAATTATAATCTATTAATTATTATTATTATATTTATAGTTGTTGTTATTGTTTTATTACAATTATTATAAATATTATTATACACCGAGTCACTGAGATAGCTCAGTCGGTAGAAGTGCCATACCTCGCGCTGTACTCGCGCGATGGCACTCTCCGAAACCCAAAGATCATCAGGCGCGTTTGATGCAGCGCTTGAGCGTGAAGCATGATGTGTATGTGCCTATATAAGAGATTGAATTGATTAGAGAATTTCTGAATAAAACTTTAAAATTTTAACGGCAACAAGCAGTGTAAGGTCGACAAATGAAATGAAGAAGCGAGCTTCGGTTTTGATGACTGCATTCAATTATTATTCAATAATGTAACAATAACTACTTAACATTATCTTACTGATGATTAATAAACTCAAACTGCATATAGACATGCATTGGCGAGCCCAGAACATCGAAGAAGAAAATATCGAAGATTTTTGGGGTAAAATTAACATCGAAAACGAAATCACCCCTTCGCACAGTGAAACTCTGCATTTGCTACTGTTGACATGCTTGTATAAAATCAAATATTTGCGAGTTCTTTTTTATGGGATTAGGTTTACAAAAAATGTAAGTTTTCGATCGATCCATTAATTGGATAAATGGTCGATTGAGTTTGGATTGAGTAAGGAACTTTCTGGATTGTTTCGGTCCAACCTTCGATTATGACGGAGTTTTTTGTGAGGGTGTAGGACCTTCTGTTGAAAATGATGGGGCTAGGGTTAGGTGCTAAAGAGCAAATATCAAATTTTGTTTAGTTTCTTAAATTCCTCATAGTCATAGTATGGTAGTGGCCACGTCGTAGTTGAACAGCATGTCAACCAACTTTTATACAAACATAATGCACAGATAAATATTTCTACATCAGATAAGATTAAGAGGAAACATAAGATTTTAACATGAAAAAGAACTTTACGATAAAATTTCCATTTTTTTTTGCATATATTTTCAGCTATTTTCAAAATACTTTTGCATTTATATTAGTTCGAAATTTTGTGATGAGAAAAAATTTTTTTTCATAATTTTTGTCTGATACCAGATTTTTAAAAGCGGTTTTAAAAGATTGACCGTGAGAAGATATTTTTGACGTTATGAAATCTCGATTTTTAACGAAAATAACGATTCGAACCGCAGATGCTTATTAAATGAAAAAAGTTAGTACTTGCTAGCAGCACATTTAACTCAAAATAGATTAGGCAACTCATTCAATTTCTTCGCATTAGATGTTTCAATTGAAATGAACACCAGGATGTCACTTCTTACCTCTTTGTTCACACTGAAAAAAAATAAAACATGCGTTTTTTGAGCACAATGACATATAAAACAATTTAATGCATTTTTACAAAAATCATTGTCATTCACATTTGAAGAAATAAACTAATGTTACCTCTGAATACACTGCTCATAGAAAATCCCCCGCAGAGCTCTGACGGGGAACCAGAACACAATTCGTTGCAGCCAGTTGTCAGACCATATCGTCCGTAAAAATTTCCGCAATAACATCCTATTTGATTCTTTTAATAAAACCAATGTATTAACAAAAAAATTATATAAATAAATATATATATATATATATATATATATATATATATTTATATATACAAATAAATGTGTATATAAATATATATATATATATATATATATATATATATATATATATATATATATATATATATATATATGTGCAATTATTGATGAAAATCATAGCATGTTTAACGTTAGTTAACTTCCAATTTAGCTTTTCAATTTTTCTAACGGTTGATCGTAATCATTTTCAAGTTTTTTTTTGGTTCAAAACCAAAATTTTTGTTTATTTTATGCATGATAGAACAGAAACCGAAAAAAGCTTTTCTGTTCTGTCATGCATAGGATACACAAAAATGTTGATTTTGAACTAAAGAAACAAGCAAATAACATTTATAAATATATAGGCATCCAGTATTTTATGAATTCTACCGAATTGTAGGCAATTTTGCCTCTAACTCTCGGGAAAGATGAAGCAATCGCTGCTCACGTTCTTGCTCGTTTGTCAGGTGTTGTCGGTCGGTCGTAGAAATATGCGTAAATGTTGGAAGAAGACCATATTTCATACGGGCGGCGTGATGGTCTAATGGTTAAGGTCGCCTGGTGCTCTTTCGCAGAGAGATGGTGTTTAGTATGTGTGTAAGTAGTAAGTAGAGCAAAATTATGTCAGAGTTAGGAAGAAGTAAACGGATTTTGTTTTTAAATTCCAAAGTATACCTGAACACCGAAATATTGAAATTTCTGGTTGAAGCATACATTCCAGCAACTGTTATGCGTCAATTCATTACTGTAAATCAGGTATCCAGACAGGTCTCTTGGAGTCGAAGAATCCGCATAGCAACCAAGATAGTTCGGTTCTATGCCTTTTATTAGTTTTGTTAAATAAGATATTTGGAGTAACTTTTTAAAAAGTTTCACGGTAATAACCGATAATCAACATGTTAATAATTGTTGTCCACTTACTTGCAACATTGATGTTGTCAAAAAAGTTGTTCTGTAGAAGAAAAAATTATAACATATTGTTCTCAAACCGTGAATATGAAACGCAGATTAATAAGACAAACATTATTTTAAAACAGGAAAAATAGTCATGTTTGACTTCTATTGTTTCCAATTTAAATCAATCTTTAATAAAAAAATTAGTCTAAATGTTTGCATTCCGTTTCAAAAAAGAAACTAAACAGACTTCTTCATAAAAATAAACAAAATGATTTAATTTTTGTATAATTAAAAAGTGAGAACCTGATAAAATGAGCAGCTTGTCCATTCCCCATATTCCATGTTGATGTTTAACTTATTCTTATGTATCTGGCAGGTGTTGTTGTTCTGATGGTAGTTGAATCCAATGCAGTTGTTGGTTTTCAGGCAAATGGAAGCGCATTTCAGTTGAGAATCATTCTTCTGAAACGTGAAAACTTCGTCTGGCTCATCAACAACGCAGGTATGGTTTCCATACTCTTTCAACTTGTACGAAAGCTTGGTGAAAACGGAATCTTTCGGTTGTATACTTTTAATAAGGATAATTTTGAGTAACAATATCTTCGAAACATATTCTTGAATCTTCATTATGAGAATAAAAGTTTTTTTTAAGTTTTTAATTAATTTGTTCAAATTAATAATTTGTTTTCGTAATATATAGTTTTTTATTTGAATGTATTATATATTACATTTGCAAATATTTCAATTATAAACCCACATACATAGATATAACAGTGAATAACGTTTTACTTTTTATTATAAAATTTTTCTAAACTTTAAACTACAAAAGACAACTTTGAAAGCAAGTACTAGATTTTATTTTCTAGAAAATATTTTTATCTTGCTCAATTGTGCTTTAAATCCATGCGTTGAAGCGATCTTGAAATCTTTTTCATTGATGTTTGTAAAATATATTTTCATAAACTTCGTAAAACGACTTGCCTTGAAAACTCCACATATTGATTTTTTTACATTTTCGCGTGAAATTTTGAGAGCCTCATTGATGTTTTTTTCATTGTTAGCTTTGAAATGCTTTAACATTTTTTTCCAGCCATATTCAATTTCACTGCATTTCTATTTTTTATTTTTCGGCTCCCACAAGAAATATAGTTGTTTTTATTATTAAGAATTTATGATAATTATTATTATTATTACTTATATTTTTTATTGATTATTTTTTTTTATTACTACTATAACTACTACTACTACTACTACTACTACTACTACTACTACTACTACTACTACTACTACTACGACTATTACTACTACTACTACTACTACTACTACTACTAATTCATTTATAAATTAAAAATTATAATGTTTAAAATTTTTATCAAATCGATAATCGATTTTGGCAACACACTTATTTTTTACATAAAACATCTAATTAATAGAATTACAATAAAGTCAAATTTTTTTGAAGAGGGTAGCCAAGGATGGATCTGATGAACAAAAGCCCTAACATTAAAAATGCACAGATTTCGAAATTTTTAAGGAAAGCCAAAAGTAGCAAAAATTGAAACGGCTAACCTAAACTATAAAAACATGTTCTTTATAACAGAGAGTGTGAACAATGAATTCAAATAGAAAAGATTATGAGCATTAAACACTTACACCACATATACAAATAAAAAACTAGACAGTGATTCTCACTAATAAACAAGGAACATTTTTCAATTGAAACAAAAGAAACCTTTTGACTAATAAAGACATATAATAACAATAAACACATAGCTGAACGTTGATGAATGATCCAAACTATTAAACTTAATTATAATAAGCATTAACGTTCCGATGAAAGATGAAAAATGATTTCAGCGAATGAGTTTGATTTTGAGGTTTTGAAAACATTCAACGATGAGGAGTTTTTGATTAACCATGGCAGAGTTTCAGTAACGTGTAAATGGTAAAAAACAGAATTAGTATGAAAATGAGCGGCCCGGTGGCTCAATGGTTAGAGGCGCATGGTCCTGCTGTTGTAGTGACTGGGCTTGAATACAAAGAGATCCCCGCCTGTCATATGCAATGTGTTTGATGCGTGGTTTCACGCGTATTCATGTAAGTTGTGTGTGTTTGTCGTTGAAACCTCTGAAGCAGGTGCACAAGAGAGATTCACCTTTAACCTTTTAGAACCTTCAACTCTGCAGCCCGGACGATGTTTGAAATTCTTAATGTTTGGTGCATCACAAGAGACAAATTATGAAGGCCTTGCAATTAGGATGTTTTTTATTAATTTGTGGAGATCACAAAATATTTGGTGGTCAGTGTTTTCTAAGCAAAGTTATGTTAATTACATTTCCGCTTTTGTCGAGGCGAAAAGAATATTAAAAACATGGAAGAAAAATGGAAAATTTATTTTGTTAGAATCATAAAAAAAGTTTGTGTTTCTAAAAACTGTGAAATTACTGAATCCAACAAATATTTTTAAATGAACGAAAGAATTTTTGCTTTCAAATTTAATTCCTTTAGCATCGATTCAATATCTTTATTACAATCCTCTATAATTTTTAATCCAAAGATTACAAATATATCTAAGATAACAATAATTAAAATAACAAATACTATAGCGCAATATGATCATTCCGGCAGTTATAACTACATGATAAAAAAATAACTACCTTTGCAATTTATCGTCTAGCTAAGACTGTTTAGAGCTCAATGAGGAGGACTTGTTGAAAACTTGAAAACATCACATTGAAATTTTCTTTGTTTGGTCGTCGCAACAACAAATTTCAACGTTTTGTTAGAATCTTTGTTCTGCTCCTCACTTTCAATGTTCATTTCATTTTCTTTGCTTGTGGAATTATTATAATTTTTTACTGGTTCATCTTTTTTGTCTAGTGAGTTATTTTTTCGTCTTTTAGTAGATTTCGATTCATTGTTTTATCATGAAATTTTTCCAGCGAGATCTTATCTACGTGATTGACATAATCTTTTTGACTGAATTCGCGTTCCAAAACTGCACGTACTTAAAAAAACAAACAAACAACAAACAACAAACAAACAAACAACAAAGACATACGATGATAAATGTTCAACAATGTGAAACTGGAGTCCTTTACACTAATAAATTAAAAACAGACGAATCATTGATAATGATATAAAGATTGTAATAATTAAGTAACCGTTAAGTATTTGGATAATGTTATAATGTTATAATCGTAAAGCTTACTAATTAACCGCAAGAAATACAAAAGAAATACAACCTGCAAGAATAACCTACAAAGAATTCAATAACAAATATATAAGTGTATGTGTGCGTTCGTGTGTTTGTATGCGTGTGTATATACCGCTTTTGGATGAAATTATAAGGACTTGAATTATTCTGCACGAAGAGTCAAAAACGACATAAAAAAATCTGTTGCTAAAAACAAAAGTGATTATGATATACGTATAAAGTTTCAAAAATAAAACAAAGTCATTTTTGGAAGCAAATTTTACGTACAAATTTTACAACTGAAACAAAGCCATTTTTGTTAGCTTTTACGAGGCAAAATGATTATGCCTGTGTGCAAAGTTTCCACCTTGAATCAAAGTCAATCTTGGTTCGTTGTTAGAAATCGTAACTAAACAAAGACTAGTACTGCAGAGGGCTGAAAGAACTATGGTGAGGATGATGTGTGGGGTTAAAGTGAAGGATAGGAGGAGTAGTACAGAGCTAATGTCGATGCTGGGACTGGACGAGGACATTGTGATCGAGATTGCGGTGGTATGGACATGTGTTGAGAAGGGATGAAGGGGTCGGGATTAGGCGAGCGTTGGAGTTCGAGGTTGAAAAAGTGATAAGAAGGGGTCGTCCGCAATTGGGATGGAGAGAGCAGGCAGAGAAGGTCAGAGTGAAAGCGGAGTTGCGTGATACTGAGGCGAGTGACAGATGTGAATGGCGTCGAGGGATAGTTCGGTTTCATCACAGGTAGCCAAACGGCAACCCCCGATCTCGGGGAAAATGTCGTCTAAACGTGTGTTGTATTGTTTTTAATTGATAACTGGAAATTTGCTAAAATTGTTTTTATGTTCTTCACTGAAGTTTATTGATGACGATTTGAAGTGTTTATGATTAAACTTTTCTTTCTTCGTCTCAAGTTTTTTTTTCTTTAGATTCGAAGTCAAATAAATCCAAGTGAGAAACAACACGCCACTTAGAGTAAGCATTTCTTTCAAATTTTTCCACAAAACACAGAAAATTTGTTGGACATATTTGACTCCAACTAACAATCACTCCACGATTAACGTCTAATTTGATGAAGAACCTACTGTAAAATAGCAAATGTTTAGGCAAAGAATTGAGTTACAACTTTTGATATTCAGCAAAAATATAAAAACATATTAATTATTTAAACGCATTAATATATATATTCCTTCTTGAACGGAACTCCATAACTGGAGTTATGGAATTTGAAATTTTGTTAATTCTAACATATTGACGATGCAAATGTTTTTTAAGGCATTCGATTCGCATCGGTAAATTATTTTAAAATTTCTACACAAAACAATGTTAGAAACTAATTTATTCTCCACCTATAAACAACGAACGGACCAGTTTTACTTACGAATTAACAAGGAACAAAAGAAAGCTTAATAATAAGATTGAATAACTTGTTAATTAGTTTAATAATTAAATAAACATTTATTTAATGATTGCGATTATCTTTATTTATTTTATCTTAATTGAAAATGTCTAGAAACCACCTGACATATTCCTCTACACCAATGGGCATGCTATCAATAATGGAATCCGACAGTTTAATCTAATGGAACATACATATTTGCTGATATAACTTCTTAACTGCACATATGCTAATCACCCCTTAAACCCTCAGAGATGCTTTTTATAACGCAGAGACCTATAAATTTTATTATATATATATATATATATATATATATATATATATATATATATATATATATATCATTTTAAGCAGATATAAATTTTGGATTATAGTTTAAGGGACCTGTTCACAATCGTTTCATGAATTTGAGGGTTCGCATCCAAATAATTATGCTTTTATTCAACAAGTTTGAACGTGGCATGCTAAGCGAAGCATTTTTCTTTAAATTAAAAAAATTTACCTCGTCAAGTTTAATGGAAATTTAAAATTTTGTTAAACGAAAGTAATTATCTTAAAGCAAAAATGTAATGAATAAAAAATAATAAATATTTTTTATCTCAAAATTGTTACGACATACAAAATTGGAGTTGACATTTACAGGATTTTTTAAAAGAAACTAAGTCAGAGTTATGGAAGTCTAAACTGGTCTTATCCTTTAATAAATTTTAGTAAATATAACATCTTTTGGCAGTATTGCCTGGTTTGAGCATATCAAGAATGAGATTGCTACGTAAATACACAAAAAAATTTTTTATGTAGTATAATTTTTTACCTGGTGATTGTAACCAATGCTGGTTAATATGTTAAGAGTTTTGCTTCAGTTCAACATTCGTTACGGCCACAGATTGCATCGCCAAATACTATTTTATTTGGCTTATTGTGCGTAAATGATAGCAGCAGCCCAAGTCATTTCGAGAAAACCTGACTAAAGAGTCGTGTGATTTGGTGATTTGCTGAGTCTTTCCATTGAAACAAGCT